TATTATTGACACAGTATCTATATAGTTTATGTTGAAGTATATGAGAGTATATATGTCATTGGTACAGTATAAATATATGTTCATGTATATATAAGAGTATATCTATAGTTGACACAGTATCTATATGATGATGTATAAGAGCATATGTAAATGTTATATATATATTTTCTATATGAGAGTCTGACCCCGGTCGATGAGCTTGTCGATGTCCGGGTCCAGGCCCTTGAAGTAGCACTTCCTCCAGAGGCCGGAGTGAGTGGAGAACAGCGGCCTCCCGCACTCCGTCTCCAGGATGCCCATCCCCAGGATCGCCCTCCAGTTCTCCAGCAGCTCCTCCTCTCTGCTGCCCACATGCACGGGCTTCATCAGCGCCACGTCCCGCTGCCGGGCCACGCCGCTCCCGGTGTCCACCAGCGGGAGGTGGTAGATGGGCATCTCCCGGTTCTTCTGGTCGTTGGAGTCGGATCCGTGTCGGTCGCAGTTGTCCTTGTGTCTGCGGGTGTCGGTCTCGTACCAGTGGTCGGTGGAGATGGCGGTGACCAGCAGCAGCAGCGACAGGACGCTGAGCGCGAGGCTCACCGCGGACACGGTCACCGTCACCGGCCGAGCCCTCTCCATGGCCGGGACATGGACCGAGCCGCTCCCGCTCCCGGAGCAGCTCTTCGGTTGCTTCCTGTCGCTGTCTCCGTTACTGAGCATCTTCTGCTGCCATGCTCGCGCCCGGCGCCCGTTCACCGTTTGTCCTCGAGCCTCAGGACCGACCGTCACTGTCAAGGTGAACACAGGTAACACACACCGGAAACATACCGGGAGCTCCTACAAAATAAATCGGAACTAAGAGGAACAATACCCGGTACACGAAGAGCAAATATTATGGTAATGATAATAACGACAACATTTACTATAATAATGATGATCATAATAATTATTATGATGATAATAACAATAACAACAACAGTGATGTGACCGTTTTATTAGTCTCTGCCTCATTGTAGATATTATTTTGAGTTTTATTTTGAAGTCAAAGACCAGATGTACTGATGTGACATCACAATGACTGATTTGATGATACTGAGCTGAAGATGATGAAGATGATGAAGATGAGGATGATGGAGATGATGGAGATGATGGAGATGATGATGTGATGAAGATGATGAAGATGGAGATGATGATGGTGATGAAGATGATGATGATGGTGATGATGATGATGAAGATGGTGGTGATGATGATGATGAAGATGATGATGATGGTGATAATGATGATGATGAAGATGATGATGATGAAGATGATAATAAAGATGATGATGATGGTGAT